TTATCAAAAATGTTTTTTTAGATACAAATTATCAAAAAGTACATAAGTTAATTCATAATTACATAAAAGATATATTATAATTTACATTTTCAGTTGAAATAATAAATTTTCTAGTAATTTCTTTTACCAACAAAATAAGTGATATATAAAAAGTATAATTAATTAATTGCTGGTGTGTATATATACTTATAAAATATAAAAATAAATGCAGTTTTAGAAAAATGAATATTTTTTCCAATAAAAAATATTATTATAAACATAAAATGCTGATAGATTATCTAGTTTTGAAAGTTGGAAATATTCTTCCATACTCCCTCATTATTTGTCTACATGTTACCGACCCCATCCATCTTGAGGTCTGACTGTTTGGCCATTCTAAAGTTTCAAGCTTCCTGACAATCATAATAATTATCCCGGAACTGGTTGTTATCTGAGAAGCGAAATTTTTTCGCTTTTCTCAAAATCATGGTTTTAAGTTTTTCAAAAAATTAGCCTGTTTGGATAGTTTTGGTGGTTTGGGGTCTAAAAATGCTTTTTTATTAAAAATTTATTTGGATGAAACCAAATCATGGTTTAGAGAATAGCTTCTAGAGAATATATTTTGGGATAATAGATTTTGTAAAGAATAGATTTTGTGAAAAAGTAATTCTCATAAAATGAGAGTGTTGGAATAATTGTTATTAGATATACTTTTTATATGTGCAAATTACTAAAAAGGATATAAGTTAATATGATAATTACATAAAAAATAGATTTTATAATATATTTTAATTTGAAGGAATAAAATTGTTAATAATATAATTTTTACCAACATAATTAATAATATATAAGATAATGTAATTAATAAATAATTAATATGTGTATATATATTTATAAAATATAAGATTAAATATGTTTATAGAAAAATAATTGAGGGATGTTAAAATCATATTACCGTTAGGATCTACTCTGGTAGGTACAAGCATACTCTTCAATTTGAGCCAGAAGTAGAATGGATTCATTTTTTTTCAAACCATTATTTTAAATCCAAAAACCATGATTTACTGATTTTTTCCCCTATTTGGGAAATTTTTTACCCAAATCATAGTTTAGGTCCTGAAACCATGGTGTCAGGTATTTGCCAAACAGGCCCTTAGTCTTGGCTCAATAAGAAATGACTGAGTACTACACCGGAGGCTCTCCAGGGCCCTTCCGAATACGCCCAACAACCTTATTTTGATGATAATAATATCTGAGTAGTCCTATGTGTGGTATCTATCAAGAGGCTGTTGAAATAGATTTCGTTGCAAATTATTAGACTTGTTGCTTACATTAAAAATAGCTTAATTAAATTACTTTAGATAGACCCATTACATGTTTATATAGTAGTGATGAATCCTTTAAACACTCGGATGGCTATTATACATCAACTAAAATAAATACTAAAATTTTTAGATACAATATGTATTGTACTAAATTGGTATAATATACAAGGATTAAGGTGCAATTTTACCTTGATAATTTTTGCTCAGAAGCTGTGAGTATTTGAAAGTTTTTTTAGCAGCAATGTCGTCTTGGAAGGGTAAAAATGTAGTAACGTTGTCCATCATTTAAAAGGAATAATTTTGAGGGAAAATTGCAACAAGTCCCATCCAAGAGAATTAAATACAAAAATGTCTCTTGAAATCATCAAATTATTCTGAAATTCCAAAGGACCTTATTACAAGAGAATCCATTTGTTTATTATCAAATTGCCCTTATCTTTTCTTTAAAGTATGCATTGATAACTGAAAGAGTAGTCATCAACAATTTAAGATATAAGGATTAACAACTATTGCAGCAAATATTGACAACTTATGCATTACATTTTATGATGAGCTGAGAAAATTTGTTGTTAATACTTACTGTGATAGTTGTTAATCATTACACCATAAGTTGTTAACGACCGCTCTTTTAATTGTCGATATATATTAAAAAAAACATAAGGGCAATTTAGTAATTAAACAAATAAATTTTTTTACAATGAGATTCTTTAGGACTTCAGAATAATTCAATGATTTTAAGGGACATTTTTTGTATTTAATTCTCTTATATAGCACCTTATATATATTATAATTTTTTCTTAATTTTGACTATTAAATTTGACTTATGTCCCACGTGGCACTGCCACATCAGCACTCTATTTCCGCATAGTCCCTTCCTTTTTTCCCTCTCTCCCCTTTCTCTCTTCTGATGAACCACCGCCCTATTGTTTCTTTCTCTTCTGAGCTATGGATATTTGGCAGTTTTTTAAGAGCAATGTCATTTCAGAAGGGTAAAAAATGTAACAATGCTGCCCACCATTTGAAAAGATAAATTTTAGCTGTTAAATTTGAATTATTTCCCATATGTGACACCATCAGTACTCTATTTCCGCATAGTCCCTTCCTTTTACCCCCCTCCTATCTCTCTCTTCTGATGAACCACCGCTCGATTGCCTCTCAGTCTTGATTCATTGCTCACGTCCCCACCTTGCTTTCCTCCTTAGGCTCCCCTGTCCTTCTTTCTCGCCCCTCCACGTCTGACTCCCGCCTACAGTAACTTGATTGCCTCACTCTTGATTCATTTTGAAGCATAATTATGAATCTGGAAAATAACACCCAAGCCTGAAGGCAGAGTATTCATTCAATGCGTGCGTTATATATACAAATATTGGGCATAGCAAATATTGACAGGCCTGAGATGTCAATAGGAAAATGGTCCTTTTCTTTGGGCATATCAAAGTGGTAGAACAGCGAGTAAACAGTAGCAGGCTGAGGAGTTTGTTGAAGCTTGAACATGGCGAGAAGTTTATCTTCAGAGAATAATTCTTCTCTTTTGATAGATAACTCTTCTCTTTCATCATCATCCACGTCTTTCCTTTCGTGTGGCATCAGCATGTCGATTTCATTTAAGAAGAAGCCGAGTTTGCTGTGGGGAGGTGGGAATCAACAAAGAGGCGAGAGAGATTGATAGGGAAGCCCGAGGAGGGAAGCGTGGCGTGGGTGTGAGAAGAATCAAGAATGAGAGGTAATTGGTGGTTCATCGAGAGAGAGAGAGAGAGAGAGAGAGAGAGAGAGAGAGAGAGAGAGAGAGAGAGAGAGAGAGAGAGAGAGAGAGAGGGAACTACGTGGAAATAGAGTGTTGACGTGGCAGTGCCACATGGGATGTAAGTCAAATTTAATGGTCAAAATTAACCCTTTTAAATAGTGGAGCAACATTGCTACATTTTTTCCGGCGCGGCATTGCTCCTAGAAGAATTTCTAGATATCCACAGCTCCTAAATGAAAACTCCCAGGGATAGAATTGCACTTTAACCCTAATATACAAACTAAAATTCCCCATACAAAACTCTTGCTCTATTCTTAAGCTTGACGGACAAGAAAAGATTAATGAGGAAAACAATAAAACATCCCCCCAAGCTCCAGCTATCTATGCTCCACAAACTCTTCGTTGTTGTATCAGTAACTGATGCTAGTTAGAGCAGCAAACTGAGACTCCTCATGTTTAATTGAATTGATGTTAATGTTTTTTTTTTTTTCATTTCTCAAGTTTTGAATGCTTGCATGAATGAGAAAAAAATAAGACATAAAAAATAGGCCCAATAACCATTGTCATGGAAGGAGAGGGATTCCATTCTTCAAAAACTTTATAATTCGAATGATCTATACTCTCTGAAACCCAAAAAATTACAAAATATAATGCTCACATTTGCTCGTTCCTTACAAAAAATAGAAAATCGTTTTAAACTGTATAATTTATCCCGTAAATTTATTCAACGTTTCGAATTATAATTCTTTTTCTTAAATGGAAAAAAATGAATCAAATAAAATTTAAATAGCAAAATACAATTGTAAGGAATAAAATGTGAGAAAAGGGAAAATAAATCAAGACATAAAAACATGGAGACTTCATATATTAATATAACAGACATATAAATTATTGCCATTTTAAGAAACAACATGTTTCATAAACAAAATAAACCAAAGGATAAAAGAAACAGTAACTAAAACTTTCATAGAAAGATTATTTAACTAGGGGTGCATCTCTAACATTTTACATAAATATGACCTTATCTTTTTTAATGAGACCACAACATCAATCATCATAATTCGTCCATCAGGTAATTCAGTGCAACAACTTAATGCTAACTCAAAAATTGATGATATATGTGGTAATATATTGCTGACATTTGGATTTCCTTCATGTAGGAAATTGACATCAAGAATATTGATAATTGAGTGTGGTGTTGATTTGTTAACCCAATCTTTCAAATCAAAATCTTCAACAAACATTTCATCAGTTGGTTTCTTCCTTGTAAACATCTCTATTAGCATGATACCATAGCTATATACATCTCCTTTGAAAGAAACCACTCCTTTTGATGCATACTCTGTTTATCAAAAGAGAATATAAGGTTTGCAATTAAATATTTTTTTCACATAGCTAATAAAAATATTCGCGTATATGAATAGAATATATATACATATATCAATGATTAAATAGTATAAAATTTTACATAGAATAAAAAACGACATAATTAAACTAAAATATCATTACTAAACTATTACGTGGTGCCATGTAACCAATTGTAGCCAATGTTGTTGTGTAAGTTTCCAACTGTCTTTCACCTAATAGTTTAGCTATACCAAAATCACTAAGACGAGCCACCATATCTTCATCCAACAAAACATTGCTTGGTTTTATGTCACAATGAACAATTGGAGTAGAAGTACCGTGATGAAGATACTCTAATGCAATTGCTACATCAACCATTATATTCAACCTTTGTAGGATATCCAAACAGTAATTATGAGAGTACAACCATCTATCAAGACTTCCATTTGACATGAATTCCATTATTAGAGACTTGAAATCATCATTTGAGCAACAACTAATAATCTTAATGAGATTGCGATGGCGTAAATTGCACATGGCATCACATTCAATATCAAAACTTCTCAATGCTTTTTCCATGTCTGTGTTAAATACTTTGATAGCAACTACCTTTTCGTTTGGAAGAATTGCTTTGTACACTGATCAAAACTTCCAGAGCCAAGAAGATTGCTCTCATCAAATCCATTTGTACCCTGTAGAATCTCATAATAGGATATCCTAGTTGGTGCATCCAAATTTGTTAAATCCCTTTTGGTTGTATAGTTAGCATCATCTCTATTTTGCTTTAGAAAGATAATGCCTATAACAACCAAAATGAAAAACATGATTGGCACTAAGCATTTTATTACTAGTATCACTTTATTTGACATGTGCTTGTTTCCTCTCCTACATGGTTGGACTTGAAGTTGGAATTTTCCACAAAGATCTTTATTCATCATAAAAGATTGAGCAGTAAAATTTTGAAAAGGACCATCATTTGGAATTTCTCCATCCAGTAAATTATAGGAAAGATCAATAGATTTAAGATAGAGTAGTGACTCTAAAGACTTTGGAATCACACCAGACAAATAATTATGGGAAAGATCTATTGACTCAATACTTATCATGCTGCTTAGTGATTCAGGTATAGGCCCTTGTAATTTATTGTGAGCCAAAGATAGGTTTTGTAAAGTCTGCAACCCACCCATAGTTGTAGGGATGCTTCCTAAAATTTGGTTTCTTGACAAATCCAGTAGTGTAATTACTCTTAAGTTTGATACCTTTGGTGAAATTATACCACTCAATGCATTTGAGGATATATCTAAGACCAATATATCTTTGAGACTCCAAAGAGAATATGGCATATGAGAAACAAATTTGTTAGAGCTAAAATTCAACTTTTGCAGAGAAGTATTCCCAAGGCATCCTGGAATTGTTCCCAAAAACATGTTGTTGGCAATATTCAACTCACTTAGCCTTTTGAGTTGGCAAAGGTCATTTACAATGGACCCTTGTAATTTGTCGTTGCTAAGACTTAAGTGTTGAAGGCTATGTAATTTGCCAAATGTATACGGAATCAACCCAGTCAATTCATTCCCATCCAAAGCTAAGTCAAGCAAGTTTGTTAAATTTCCAATTACATTGGGTATAGCTTTGGTAAATTTATTCAATGGTAAACGCAACCTAATGAGCTGAGAAGCATTTGATATGCTGTTTGGAATTTGTCCAGTTAGTTCATTTCCTTCCAGCACTAAATTCTTCAAGTTAGGGGGGCCAATTCCTAAATATGATGGGAGAAGGCCAGAGAGGAAGTTGCTCCCAAGGTTTAACAGTGTCAGTGTTGAAATGTTGAATATGTTGAAAGGAATGGGTCCTTTGAAATGATTAGAAGATAAGTCTAATCTATCAAGTTTATAAGACTGCCTATCCCTTTGGGTAGAAAACCTGGACAAAAAAATTAATGGATGAATGAAACATGTGGGCACATTATATGCGGCATGGAGGATGAATGAAACATGTGGGCGCATTATATGCGATATGGAGCTTTTTCATTGATCAAGCTATAACCAAAAAAAAAAAAAAAACCTTCACGTCTTATTAATTCCAAAAACTACAATATTAGAAAGCGAAAAAGCGAATTTCTTATAACATCAAATTGCATACCTTCTATTGAGTCTGTTAAGTTTGACTACTGTATAAATTTTTTTGTGCATTGCCAATTAATCATGTGTGGCATACTTTCTAATATTTTTGGTACATTTTTTTAGCAAAATATTTTTGGTACAGTGGAGCTGAGAAATTACGAAGTATACTTTTCTCAACGGATTAAAAAATAGGTCCCACATCACACATTGCATACATGTCTCCCTCTTGTTAACGTTGTTTACTTCTTTTATTTTCATATTTAATAATTACTCAAAAGTTATTATATGGAAAAAAAAATTTACTGTAAAAGCTTTATTGATTTTACATAGAATTGAGCATATAGATGCAATCAAAAAAAAAAGAAGAAGAATTGAGCATATAGAACACTTTCTCTTTACACCCAAATGAATTTAAATTTAATTGATGTGATTTAATTATTTGACAAACTATTAAAAACATCTTGTATTCTCATTCTTCAGTTTGAGCTTAAATTTCGTTAGAGAAGTCATTTTTACAGATGCATTTAAATTTTTTTTAATTTTTATATATTTTAATTTTTTATACATATTGAAATGTTTTTTTATTGTACATTGTTTTAATTCCTACGTTATAATTTTCGAAAAATAATATTAAATATAATTTTAATTTCATTTAAAAAATATATAGTTTTTGCAATTTATTTATATAATAAATAAGAAAAAACAACTTTAACCTCGTAGGAATTTTAATATTATTTTAATATTAAGAGGAGAGGAAAAAAATATAAAATTAAGTTAATTGAGAGACAGATGAAATCTTTCAAAAAAAAATGTATTGGCATGACACACGGGGGCCATTCTGTATGGTTTGAAGTTTTGTCATCAAATAATATATTAGAGAATATAATTTCTCTTTTTCATGAGTTCCATCTGCTATATGAATGAAATGAAAGAAAAAAAATTTTATTTCAGAAAAAATATTAAAAAGAAAAAAAACACACAAGTAAATGCATACCTGTAAATGAGTTACCACCCAAATATAATTCTTTCAAAGCTATGCCTTTGTTTATTGATTGCCTATAGCATTAAATTACTTATTCGGCAGTTTATCCCTCTAGGAAATTATTGTGTGAAAAGCTTTAACTTGAAAAGCTTTATTTAGTTTCACAACGTGCAGAACAGTTCTTCTATTTGTTGAACAATTAACATATCTCATGTTATTGTTCATCAGTTTGAGTTACATTTAAATTTTTATTCAATTTCTATTGTTATAATTTGTAATTGATTTTTATATCTATTTAAAAAATCTTTTGTTTATTTCAAATTTTTAATTCATATGCTGTGATTTTTTTAGAAAAATATGAATATAAATTTAATTTTAATTAAATGATAGAGCTGTTACCGTGTGTTTGTGCGTGTAGAAAAGAAGAAATTATCATATATGATGCAGAAATTATCAAATATTGTTAAAAATGTATGTTTAAGAATAATCCTAAAACTTACGTTAAATATGTTAAAAAGAATTCAACCGAAAGAGTAAAATGTGGTGAAATGACTAGTATTTCTTTTGAAAAATAAAAGTTTTTGTACTGTAATTATTGAATAAGTATTTAATTTGAAATGAACGAATTTGAAAAATAAAAAATTGAAAAAGAAGCATAACAGATGAAAAAATGTACGCTACAATAGAGAGGAAAAAATATAAAATTAAAGTTGCCTGGAAGCAGATAAAACCTTTTAAAAAAAAAAGTAGCGGCATATAATAAGTATGTATGTTGCATTTAAATTTGGTTGAACAAGCATTTTATGAGTTGCATTTATTGTATGATTTGTAACTGACCTTTTGTACATATCTAAATAATTTTTTTTGTTGGACATTTTTTAATTGCTACGTTGTAATGTTTTTAAAATAATATAATTTTAATTTCAGTTAAACAATGTTGAATTGTTACAATTTGTATATATAATAAATAAGTAAAACCGACTCCAAACTCATCTGTATTTTAATATTATTTAAATATTAAGATGAGAGAAAAAATAAAATTAAAGTAATTAAGAGACACAAAAAAATCTTGATAAAAAAGAATTGTATGGTTTGGAGTTTTGTTGTCAAAGAGTATATGTGAGAATTTCGTTTTTTTTGTTACAAATTTCACAGCATCCATCTGTTCATGATTAGGATTTTTGAGAAAAACAAAATCTCATTTTGGAGAAACATATTAAAAAGAAAAAAAAAACACTCAAGTAAGTGCATACCTGTAAATGAGTTACCATCCAAATATAATTCTTTCAAAGATGTGCAATTGCTTATTGATTGTGGAATACCTCCCTCTAATTGATCACCATAAACATCAAAGGCCTCAAGTAAAGGGAGATGATGACACATTTCTTCAGGCAAATTACCCTTTAAATGATTCATGCCAAAGGCCACATATGTCAAAGAAGGCATGTTCCAAAGAAATGAAAGAATTCCACCTATAAATAAATATAAAATATTTGTTAATTGCTTGGGAGAATGGCAAGCATGTTCCTAATAAATTCGTCCGTACACAAGCGTATAAATAATACAAGGAATTTTGGTAATTAGATGCTTAAAATTAATAGAAAATAATTTATTTTTTGTTGGACAATAGTTTAAAGGGACTCTTCCAATATTAATGACCAATTAGATGTTAAATTTCTTTCAAAGAAGAATTGCTGAAGATCAGAGACTATGGAATTAATCTCACCTAATCTAAATTGAACATCCAAATTATTTATATTTTGTATTATAGTTATTGAAGTATTTAAAAAGGTTCTAACTTTAAAATCTGATGATGAATCCATCATAGGCAAAAAAAAAAAGGCTGAAATTTTAGTTTTTCTTTAAGGAATTAAAAGCCCTTTTAGTTACACATTTTGGAGATAAAGCATAAAATTAAGGATGAAATTTCACATGTTTCAATGTAAAAGTGGACAAGATACAAGTTATGTATATGTTGACGAGAGAATTGGAAGTATTAAAAATCTTTTCAAATACAAATCCTTTCATCAAATATAAACAAACATTATATTGATAGCGAACACATTTATTCTAATGATCAAAAATTATATTTTATTTCTCTTTTTAAAGACATTTTTGCTAGGATTTTTACAGGGCTTCCCTAATTTTTTTAATGATCCAAAATTATATTTTATTTCTCTTTTCAAGGATTTCTATTATGAATGCAAACTTTTTAGTAAGCTTCTCATGATTTTTTAACATGGATGAAAGAAATGAAAAGAAAAATCTCACTTTAAAATTATTTTTCATTCGAGAGATGAAAACAAAAACAAAAATACACAATATGGTCTAAGACAATCATATAATTAAAATTCTTACCTTGCAAATTGTTGTAGCGAAGATCAAGGAATTGGAGGTTTGTCAAATTTCCAATCTCACTTGAAATGATTCCTGGATAAATTATATATGGTAAAGTCATTTTATTGATCAAAGTATATTAATGATGTGGTAGATTAAGGCTAAAATTAAAAAAAAGTTTTTCACATTTTAAATCTATCAAGTGGTCCCATCAGCTCATGATCTTACCTTTTCTTTATTTTGGCATTGTAATATTGTTTGCATTAATATACATAAATAAAAAAGAAACTTCACATGTCTTACGCATTAATTTCAAAAACTTGAACATTTGTGCTATACTGATTAATCCATGCATAA